ACTTAACGATGGCATGCCTGCAAAAGCCAGGCCTGAGATTCAAGTTTCTGAAAGGATTTTCTATTTGGCTTTGACATGATTGACTTCAGCAAACCAGAATTATGGGGAAGAAAGATACACACCTAGCACTTGGTAGACTTCTCTTAGAAACCACTCAAGCATGAAGAAATTAAATGTGAGCAGTGAGGGCTGTGCAACCTACAGATTGAATGAAAGGGTTTAATAATGAAGACAAGGACTAAGTAAAGAGCTTCTCTCCAGGTTCTGCACATTTCCAGCATTGACCATGAAGAGCAGATTCAGCAGTGGGAGCTATTAGCAGGTTTATATAAGGTTTAATAGCCTCACTTCCAGATCTTCTGTGTTTTTAGAAGAATTTGTATTAAGTTCTCTTTAATGTGGAGACAACTCACTTAGGACACTGATTACACCCACGCCTAATTCAGCACGCACTGGAGCTCTCACCTTATATTTGACCAAAAAAAGAAAAGAAAAATGTGATTGCATCAGGAAATGAGTCTGAATTTTATCAAACATCCTAGCTGTCTATGTGCCTGGCTTTATGAGCTGAGGGAACTGAGATCTAGAAAATGCCTGTCCTCTGACAAATGCCTGGTTTGGGCAGAAAAGGGACGGAGCAGGACCTCCCGGGCCTCCAAGCTGGGTGTTAGGTGTGTGAGGACTTCGCTCCTGTAGCCTCCTGAGGTATGTGGTAGGAAGAGGTGAAGACACAGCAGTGGGTCTTAAGTGTTTCCTCTCACCCAGGTATGTGCACTACAATAGACTTACAGACACAGTGTCTTAAACGAAAAGGGTAACTTTAATGGTGGACTTTCAGGTAAGCACATATTTTGTTTAGATGGAGAGAAACTAATTAACCAGGAGTGTGGTGGGGCGATTCTGGTTATGGCTGTGAAAAATGCCATGTCTGGTAATTGTCTAGTTGAAGACTTGCCAAATATTTATTTGGTAAATAAAAGAATATCTTCTCCTTCTTTAAGACTCAGCTTGAACTCTTCCCTAATTTTCTTTCCATCCTGGTAGGATAAGTTAGTCCATCCTGTATGCCATCTCTGGCCCTTGTAACTATTATAATGTTAACACACTGTATCTTTGTTGTCTGTTTATTTGTCTCTTTCACATAACTCCTGAGGGTAAGAACTATAACCAACTTAATTCCAGTACCCCCAGGGCCCAGCAATAACTGATCATAAGAAAATTAGTAAGAGACTTTAGTAAATGGGCATGAAAGAGAATTACTGAATAAATGAGAGAGAGTTGATAGTTCCTTTGGGCTCCATAAAATGAAATGAACTGGCTTTACACAGTAGCCCCATTAATAGAAAGATAATGACAATAATGGCTTCAATTTATTGAGTCCTTACCGCATGCCAGGCAGTGTGCTAAGACTTCCTAAGAATTATCCATTTAAGACATTAACTCCAGGTACTAATATTACCCCTGTCTAACAGATGAGAACAGTCTAATTCTAAGGATTGAATAAGTGCCCAACCACTGAATGGCAGAAAGCCAGAGTTCAATGTCAAATCTATTTGACACCAAAGCCCTAACTTGTAACCCTTTGGGGGGTTGGGGGGGAAAATGAAAAATGAGGTAATGCTCATAACATTCTAGTCCTATCAGTCCATCCTAAAGCTTTATAAAGGTCACCTAGTCCAGCCCCATCATTTCAAACTGAGGGAGGAGGAGACCCAAGGAGAACGGTCTGAAGAGCCTTAGGTTTAGTTATAACAGTGGTGGGCAGTTGGACAGATGTGAGCAGAGCAAGGACGATGAGCCAGGTGCAGGTCACCAGGATGGAAAGCCTCACCCCCAGGGTAACTTTTCCTCCCCTAGCATATCGCTGGTCCTGAGGTTTGGACCCCCGGACCTTTCTTCCCTAGAGATAATATCTAGGCCTCAGTTGTATTTCAGCTCCAGGCCCAGATAAGCAACAAAACCAGCCACAGCTCACGTCAGGATCAGCTGCATGAAATGATGACCTCTGCCCTGGTGCTGGCCTATCATCAGTGGAGACCACAATCCTGAATATTCTATTAAGATGTCTTCCTGGCACCTCCCCTAAAATCTCCGCCTTTAAAGTCCTGAGGAGGGAGGAGGACCCGGTTGCCTTTCCCTTTTCCCTCCCTGCCCCTGGCACATTGCCATTAGCTGGCTTCCTCACTCACTCTCAAGCTCCATAACTTGCTTCCTAAACCCATTTATTCTAGGAATTACTTCTTCTGCCTCTCTAATTTGCCAAATAAATGTTCTCTTACAGTTTGGGTCTTGCTCTGAATTCCTTCCTAGCCAGAATGCAAGTACTGAGGTTGCTGAACCCAGGATTGCACCCTCTCGCAATTCAGGACCCCTCGGAGGATGTCAGAGAGCTGGTTTCGGCCTGATCCCCTCAGGCCAGGCCAATGGACCCCACCGTGCACTGGGCCTCTAGTAAGGAATATTAATCATGCTCTGTTAACCATGATTGTTTTGGTCTGATTCTCAAGAAAGCACATTCTAACCTGGCTGGGAGTTGTACGCCCCAGGGACCTGGGAGTCAACCTTGGATTTGGAATCTTTCCATTTTATCATGGAAAGATTAGCAACCTTGTTGCCCAAACAATGGAGTCCCTCCCGCATTGCCTGTAACCTGTAACCATTATAATCATTCTTATTCCTTTTGCCTACTTCCCCATGTAATCTTTGTTCTACCCAATATAAGCAGCTGGCTTATGGGGCGGAGAGGGGGGGGGGCAGAGGGGTGCAGAGTAGGTTTTTTTTTTATTTTTTTTATTTTTTACAGAGAGGAAGGGAGAGAGATAGTTAGAAACATCGATGAGAGAGAAACATCGATCCGCTGCCTCCTGCACACCCCCCACTGGGGATGTGCCTGCAACCCAGGCACATGCCCTTGACCAGAATCGAACCCGGGACCCCTCAGTCCGCAGGCCGATGCCCTATCCACTGAGCCAAACCGGTTTCGGCCAGAGTAGGTTTTTGTGAGTGACCTGCTCCTCTCTCCCATACTGCTGGCATTATTGGAATAAATGCTCATATATGATTCAACCCTGTCTCTGCTTAATTGGCTCAAGTACTGACAGGCAGGAACCCCTTGGTTGTCTGGTTTCATCAGGACAGCTCCTTTTACTGTTACTGAAGTGCTCTCTGAATTAATTCAAGATTCTGCCAGTGGCTCAAAGAGACTTCCCTTGACCACATATCTGAACTAGCCCCAATCATGCCTTATCTTCTTATCCTGCTTTATTTTCTTCTCAACAGAGTCTTCTTACATTATGCATTTATTCATTTATTTATTTTCCCCTCTAGAATATAAGCCTTATGAAGACAAGACTTTTAATGATGTTTCTCAGGAGTCTATAGCAGTGCTGGCATATAAGATATTTGATAAAGGTGAGTGGTGAACCTGAGATAAAATATGGCTAAAAGCTTACTGAGTAAGTGGAAAAGGAAGATGCGTGCTGAAAAGAGAAAAAAGAATGCCCCAAAGGAGCTTAGCAGACTTAAAAGTATTCTTAAAGTAGATACTGATGTTTTAATGAAAGATGTTCATGAGATAGCAACTGTGGTGGTCCCCAAACATTCTGAAGAGAAAACCCAGTCTGTGGTGAAAGATGACAAAGATGACATGAAAATGGAGACTGACATTAAGAGAAACAAAAAGACTCTTCTAGACCAGCATGGACAGTACCCCATATGGATGAACCAGAGGCAAAGAAAAAGGCTGAAGGCAAAGTGAGAAAAAGGAAAGGGGAAAAGCAAAGCAAAAGCAGCGAAGGCGGCTAAAGGTTTGGCCTGGTAGACTTTTAAAAACTTGAAAAGTGCCACACGGGGCAGATCTTTGATTAGAATGTATACACCTATTTCAGCTTCTGTCAAATGAAAACCATTTTTTAACTGGGCCTTTCTCTTCAATTCAAACCCAACATAACACCTCAAATTTGTTTTAGGAATCTGAATAAAATATTTCCTTTGATGAATGAAAAAAACAACAACTGGTTGACCTGATGGCTAAACATTCCAAGGCATCAATTGCAATGTGATTTTAATGCACTGAAGTTTTTCTTGTCCTTCAAAGAAAAAGTTTTTTTCTTTATTTTTGCCTTTATTTTCTCAAGCTGGCCTAACACCATTTTTTTAAACTTTGATAACTGTCCATCTCTTCTCCTGACTTTCAGTGTCCCCCTCCCCCACTAAGGACAGGAACCTTGCTGTAGTCACCCATGCATCCCAAAGCCTTCCTAGCTCAGGACCTGGCATGAGCAGCTGTTCAAAAATGCTTGACGCCCAGCCGGTGTGGCTCAGTGATTAAGCATTGATCTGTGAACCAGGAGGTCATGGTTCGATTCCCGGTCAGGGCATGTGCCCAGGTTGTGGCTCAAACCCCTGTAGGGGGTGTGCAGGAGGCAGCCGATCAATGATTCTCTCTCATCATTGATGTTTCTATCTCTCTCTCCCTCTTCCTCTCTGAAATCAGTAAAAATGTATGTAAAAAAATAAAAAATAAAAATAGCCCATGCCAGTTCAGTGGATAGAACATTGGCCTACGGATTGAAGGGTCCTGGGTTTGATTCCGGTCAAGGACACATGCTCAGGTTTCGTGCTCGATCCCCAGTGTGGAGCGTGCAGGAGGCAGCCAATCAATGATTCTCTCTCATCACTGATGTTTCTCTCTCACTCTCCCTCCCTCCCTCTCTGAAATCAATTAAAAAAAATTAAAAATAATGCTTGGGGAGGCTGGTGTGAAGAGTGGTTAAGAGTGGTAGTCAGAGGCATTATTGCTTAGTGATTTATTTTATTTATTTTTAAATTTTATTTTAGAGAAGAAGGAAGAGAGAGAAAGGAGAGTGAGAGAGAGACATCAATGTGAGAGAGAGATATTGATAAATCAATTGCCTCCCACACTCACCCCAACTGGGGATCGAACCCACAACCTTCTGGTGCACAGATGCTCCAACCAACTGAGCCATATTGGCCAGGACAGTGATTTGTTTTAAGGCTTCATCAGCAGGTGGAATGGAAGACCCCTCCGACCCTGACACCTTGGGCAGCCAAGGCATTGTACTCCTTTACGGCCTTCTCTGTCTGGAGTACTCGTACATCAATGCCTTGTTTCTCAAGGTACTCCAGGGTTGATGGGGGGACCTGGGAGGAAGGAAAAAGATGAATAAGTGGTTGGGGGAGGTCCCCAGGGTTTCCTTTCTGCCATGAAGCAAGTATACTCTACAGAATTAGACAGGGACAAGTGTTACTCCTCAATCACCCAGAATGTCACTGGTCCAAAAAATTTGGCCATGAGCCCCAGGGAGTTAAAAAGGCTTTCTAAGAAGTTGACAGCAGTATCATGATATGTATGCATAAATCTCAGATGATGAAAAAAAATCTCAGATGAAATGGAAAAAGCACTGATTTTGGAGTTAGCCTTGGATTTAAGTCCTTGCTAGCAGTGTGACCCTGGGTAAGTGAATTAAATTCCCTGAGTCTTTGTTTCTTTGTATGGAAATAGGGATGATAATACCTAGCTCCCAGGGTTGGTATGAGAACTAATTTGGCGAAGGTATGTAATTGTCTGGCATGGTGCAGACCCCAAACCATGTAAATGTTAAATGTTTTAGTCAGTCCAACCTGAGCCTAAATTCTAACTTTGCCATGTACCAACCAAGAGATCTTAAGCCAGCTATTTAAAGCCTCTCGATCCCAATTTCCTCCCCTGTAAAATGGGGTAATGACACATTAAAGGGTTGGTTGAGGATGAGGTTACCTAGTGTATGCATACTGCAAGTACAGTGTCCTCTCAGAAAAGCCTCTTGGCCACCCCATTGAGAGGAGCCCCTCAGAAGTCAACATTTTCTTCATAGAATTTATTATGATCTGAAATTGTATACTCTTTTATGACACGTGAGGGTCATGAACCTTGTTTTGTCTTATCTTGTTGTCCCCAGTGTGACAAGATAGAATAGTTTCTAACCTATAGAAGGTGCTAAATAAATATTTGTAAATGAATTTATATAAAAGTTTCTCAATAATGGAAGCTATTATTAGATATTCTCAACTCTGGCTTGTCCTGAATGTTTTCTATATGAACAATTTTATAATAACAGTAACTTTATAGATAGGAATTATTTTAACAAGGAAAAAATTAGGTTAAACTGAAAATTCTCTCTCTCTCACACACACACACACACATATACATATATAAAAGCCTAATATGCAAATTGTCCCCATGGGAGTTTGGGAGACCGATCACTCGCTATGACATGTGCTGACCACCAGGGGGTGGGGCGGAACAAAGGGAGGCCCCGGCCAGCAGCCAGCAGCTAGCAGCTGGCAGCCTGGGGAAGGGAGGCCCCAGCCAGCAGCCGGAAGGAAGGCTTCGGCCCGCAGCTGGAAGACCCCAATAGGCCCTTACCTGTGCATGAATTTTGTGCACTGGGCCTCTAGTAAATAAATAAAGGGCACCTTCATCAGGAAGCTGGATTTTAGAACATCTATCTAAAGGAAAGATTAAGGTAGATCTCTATATACTTATGTGAAAGGCTGTCCATAATGTAATAATGTAAGTGAATAAAATGTTACAGAGCAATATGTATAGTGTGACCCTATTTATGTAAAAATGATTGTAAGTATGTTCATGTATACCTATATCACATATATGTAAGTGTGTATATATTTGCAGATGCTTAGAAAATTGGAGCAGTATGCCCAAGTGTGGAGACTGGAGAGGGAAAATCTTTCACCTTTTCCTTCTGCATTTCTGCATTGAATCTTTTCTGTAAGTAAAATTAAAATAAATATTTTTTTCATAAAGGGGGAAAACATAATTTGAATGCATCTAAGAAGAGAGAAGTATTATAAAATCTACTATAAAATATAAAGTTCTATAAAAATCTAAAGAACAAAATGTTAATAGTTGTAGAGCTTGAGAAATACCAAGATTGAGGACTTTCTGAGAAATACTGGAAGCAATACAAGTCCAGGGTTAGGTAGAGACAGGAGAGTCCACCCCTGATGAGTAGTACGCAGCCATTATTTGATCCTGGGACATCCGCTAGCTCATCAGCAATATGAGGGTGCATGCTATATAGAGATGAACTCCTAACAAGGACATATCTCTAAGGTAAAGGTCCAAGAGATCAGCAGCTGTCCTCAGGACATTATATTCACAAATACCTACCTTTAAGGCCTCACTCATCCCTCGGCCAATCACAAGGGTCTGCACACCCTTCTTGACAACTTCCTCCACATCTGCAGGCTGCACACCAGGAGAATGCTGGGTGAGAAAAGAAAAAGTATACCAGTTACCTGCTCTTTTTTTTTCTTTTTTTAAAAAAATATTGTTATTGATTTCAGAGAGGAAGGGAGAAGGAGAGAGAGTTCGAAACATCAATGATGAGAGAGAATCATTGACTGGCCGCCCCCTGCACGCCCCCTACTGGGGACCAAGCCCACAACCTGAGCATGTGCCCTTGACCGAAATCAAACCCGGAACCCTTTAGTCCAGGGGTCCTCAAACTTTTTAAACAGGGGACCAGTTCACTGTCCCTCAGACCGCTGGAGGGCCGGACTATAGTTTAAAAAAAAACTATGAACAAATTCCTATGCACACAGCGGCGGCAAAAACACCCGGCGGGCCGGATAAATGTTTCTTGGGCCGGATAAATGTTTCTTGGCGGGCCGCATGTGGCCCTCGGGCCGTAGTTTGAGGACCGCTGCTTAGTCCATAGGCCGACGCTCTATCCACTGAACCAAACCAGCTAGGGCCAGCTACCTGCTCTTTTAATCTTTCTTTGTAATTGGCATTCTTATGGGATTCATTCATTCACCCATTCATTCATTGAAGAAATGTTTTGTTCTGGGCCCTGGGAATAACAGATGATAAATTGCTGCCCTTAAGGAGCTCTAAGTCTAGTGCAAAATGTAGCAGACTAAGAAGAAATTAAAGTAGTTTTTTACAAGTGCTACAAGGAAGTAAGCTCCCGGTGTGTACAACATAGTGAACGAGCACTGACATCAGACCTGGGGTGTGTGGAGAAGAGAGACTGACATGACCGCTGTCTGTCCCGAAACCTGGACCAAGGCCAGAATGGGAGTTGCTTTCTGCAATCCCCCTTAAAAGACTGTATGATTGTAATTGATACTCATTCTGACATAAATCAGCACCCCTTCCTTGCCTCCTGCTATGTGCTGGTTCCTGGAACAGGTTGTTATCCTGAGCTGGTCAAGCATGTAATTTCCCATACCTGGTGGCATTCACACACCTGTGACTACTCAACCCCCAGCCCCCGCTCTCCCTGAAATCCTATATAATTATCTGGCCCTGCCAAGCGGCTCATGGATCCATTTTGCATGCCTTGTAGGTAAGTTTCCCTTAATCAACTCTATTAATTACCAGACTGGAGTGGCCAGCCTCTTTCTTCAGTCCCTGTCTGCTCTCCACTTATGGAGATAAATTTTCAGTCTTGGAGCTTTTCCTGGGGTCTACATGTACTAATAGGGGAGTTGGGGCAGGTGGTCAGGGAAGGCATCCCAGAGGAGGTGACATTTAAGCCGAGACCTAACAGACAACCAGGAATTAGCCAAGTTAAAGGAAATCAGGGAACAAGGCATTCCAAGTTAAGGTAATAGCATGTACAAAGGCTCAGAGGAAAGAAAAACCTAGTGAATTATAGATAGTTGAGTATGACTGGAGTGGAACTGACAGGGGAGGGAATAGAAAGAGATGAGGTGGGAGAAGAAAGCATTTGGACATGATGCCAAAATTTGGACTGTGGAAGGATTTCATAAGAATCCTGCACTAGATTCTTATGATAGAATAAGATAGAGCATCAGCCTATGAACCAAAGGGTGACGGGTTCGATTCCCAGTTTAGGGCACGTACCTGAGTTGCATCAGGGCATATGCAGGAGGCAACCAATCAATGTTTCTCGCTCACATCAATGTTTCTCTCTTTCTCTCTCTCCCTCTCTAAAATCAATAACAAATTCTTGAGTGAGGATTTTAAAAAGTAAAGAAAAAACTATATGATCCCACAGAAACTAATATTCTCTAAATAATGAAAAAAATCCTATATTAGTCCATTAATATGACAAGTAAATGTGACATCTGTATTAGGTTAATTGGCAAAATATTAATAAGATCTGTATAGTAAGTATTGTATCAATGTTAATTTCCTGATTTTGATCATTGTATTATGATTATGTAAGAGAATGTCCTTGTTCTCTGGGGGAAATACAGGCATTTAGGAGTAAAGGAGTATAATATCTGTAACAGTTCAAAAAATAATATATATCAATGGAGAGGATGATAAAAGAAAATATGAAAAATTGTTAACAGTTGGACCTGGGTAAAAGTGAGAATTCTTTGTACTATCCTTGTAACTTTTCTGTAAGTCTAAAATTATTCAGGAAATTAACAAGTAAATAAATAAAATAGATACAGGAAATTAACAAGTAAATAAATAAAATAGAAAATAGAGCAGGAAGACAGCTCCTACAGCCACATACTTCCTGATTTATTTAGGCAAGGAAGCAAACTTAACAGAAGGCAGGTGGCTCCAAGGCAGGAGCAGAGGCAGCCTGTCTTTGCTGGCTTCCTCCCTCCATGTCTCTTGATTCTCCGCGGGTGAGCAACTGCCGCTGACATTCTTCACTTCGTCAGCAAGTGCTCTAGAGCTGACAGCAAAGCCAGTCTCTCTCTTGTCTATTCTGACTTACCTCCTCAGCACCTCCCTATGGAATTTACACTCAGACTGTATGAGCTTATGTTCAGGGAATATCAAAGAGTGTTCTAAGTTAGAACACCTGCATTTCATAGAGTGAACCAAACTGATCAGCAGCAAGGGCACACCCTCATCTTGAGAGAGGCCGCAGAGTTAGTGCCCAGGTGTCTCTGAATAGTATCTCTGCCTTCAGCTTTCCCAGTTAGGAGAGATTGAATTCTTATTCTTTTTTTTTTTTTTTTTTCAAGTCTTGGGAACTCTGTTGGGGCAAACATCAGTTCAATATGGGTAGATTGGCCACTTTCCAGAAGCTAATTGTTGGCAATTGTCCCTTGCCATTATATATTAAGTAGTACAAATAGGTGAAGCCGCAACCCAGGTACATGCCCTTGACCGGAATCGAACCTGGGACCTTTCAGTCCGCAGGCCGACGCTCTATCCACTGAGCCAAACCGGTTTCGGCTGAATTCTTATTCTTTAAAGTTACTTAGGTTCATAAATTTTTAAAAGGCAAAACAAAAAAGGGGATATTGTTTCTGATTATAATATTATTGATTACAATAATCGGTACTTAAATAATGTAAGAGGATTGGATTAAATGCCTTTTTTCCACAGCTCTCTGATCAATCCTAGAACCACCCTGCACTAAACAGTGAAGAAATGGAGAACCTAACATTTTTTCCAGAAGCTATGACCAAAGCAAATACTTAACAGAATTACAAATTAGGATTGGAAAGCTTCACCTTCCTTAAGTAAATGCATCCACCTCCATGACTGAATGATTCCTTCATTTAACAAAGGACAGCACATACTTTGAGAAGCACCATGATGCCCTGACTCTAAGAGCTCACATTCTGGTATAAGGAAACATGGCAAGTGGGAAGGGGGTGAAAGGTCAAGAGAATTCAAAACCATAATCATCCGGAGATTCAGAGACTGGAGACAGCAGCAGCCCATCAGAGCTGCCAATCAATGGAACTCAAGTGACAAATTCGGCTGCTGTGTGTGCTATACTGCAGGCCCAGGGTGTCACATGCAGAGCAATGAACACTCACTGCAGCAGCCTGTGGATCCAGGCGTTGGCAGGCGATTACTCACAGCCTAGTGCAGAGGCCTGCTACTGAGGCGTCCTCAACCTGCCTCCAGCTCCTCCTCTCCTTCTTCCAGTCCCTGGGGGCAAACCACTAAGGCTCTGACTCTGTTCCTCTTTTTAAAGAGGCTTTACATCAGAGGGTGTTGTAAGGTTGTAAAAGCTTATTGTGTTTTCTTGGGGGGAAGCTATTAATTGTGGGGAAATGTCCAGCTAATACCCATCATGCCAGCTAAACAATAAGGTGGCATCCTATATGGCTTAGACATTTCCCCCTCTTCTATATCGAATTTGAAAAGAAAACATTCCTAAATTACACTTTCAAGGAAGCAGTTCCTCCTGCCAAAATGAAGTGAGCATAAATGTTAGAAGCAAAGCTGTCATCTGGTTGTGTTGCTGATGAAAGCGGATTCTGTGAGTGAAGGTTAAAGGATCTCTGGAATCTGTCCCTGTGGACACTGCCCAAGTCACATTCTCCTTATCGCTTGGGGAATTACAGCCTCTAAACTGATCTTCCTGCCTCTGCACAGGCATCTGTTCTTGTGCCATAGGCCACTCTGGCAATCAATCTGGTGGAGCTTATGGCTCCCTTCTCAGCAAATTTTTTAAAAGCTTAAGGGAAAATGTATAGGATTACAAAGAAAACAGATTTTACACACTAAAATTATCCAATTATTAAAAACAGGCCTGGCCAGGTTGCTCAGGTGGTTAGAGTGTTATCACGATACACCAAAGTTGCGCATTTGATCCCCAGTCAGGTCACATACAAAAGAATCAACCAATGAATATATAAATAAGTGGAACAACAAATCAATGTTTCTCTCTCTCTCTCTCTCTCTCTCTCTCTCATCAATCAATCAATAAAACATTAAAAACAGATGTGTGGTCTAGTAATGTGCTTCTTTATTAGTTTAGAAGAGTGGAAATCATTTCCAAAAGTCCATTAGCAGACTTACCCTCACATCTCATAGTGGCAGACTGCTAGTTCTTTCAAAATCCAATCTGCCCCCTTTCTACTGCCCAGCTAGATTCCATTTTCTGTGCTCCTGTGCATCTAGGTGTGGAACATGTGACTATGCTATCACCAATAAGAATTCAATGGCATACGAGCAGAAGAAATGCCATGTCTAGGTTTGAGCCTTGAAACATTGAGCATGAGCTTTTCTTCTCTTTCTTCTTCCATTAAGTTAGACTTCTGGCCATGGCTTCAACCTGTTCCACCATTCAAATGCTCAAGGAGATGGTGGAACAACACAGAGGAAAACATCTGGGGCTGTTGGGTTGAGCTAGAAGTATAATTATGAACTCATTACACACACACACACACACACACACACACACACACACACACACACACACACATTTTCTGGCTCTGTATACTGAATGGGCTTAGATGTAGTGACATCTCAGTAGTAATGAGCCCACCTAATACCCAGCTCTTGGGTTTCTAGATATCATTTCT